GTGTGTGTGTGTGTGTGTGTGTGTGTGTGTGTGTGTGTGTGTGTGTGTGTGTGTGTGTGTGTGTGTGTGAGAGGGGAGTCAGCTCGAGAAACGTTGGTGCTGAACCAAGAAAAAACATTTTTGGTGTGCTGAATAAAGTATCTGTGAGAAAGACGTCTGAATATCTTGTGGGGGGCTGGATATTCACAATGACCCTTATTAAAACATATTTTACATTTTCTTTTTTTTTTTGTATACAGAACAGGGGTAACAATGGTAACTTTATTGTCCCCAGTGGGAAATTGATTTGCAGTCTGTTTATACAGACACACAAAAACAAAATAAAAATAAACCACGCACATCCTCACCACCTTGTGGGGCAGCTGCAGAGCTGAAAAAAAATAATGCACAAAAAACTCCAAATATCTACCTCTAGCAGATCTTTTAATTTTAGTTCTACAGTCTGCAAACTGTTAATTCTTTTCTATGTTTTATTTTATATTTTAAAATTTAAAAAATTTAAATCATACCTTATGAAAAGTGAATTTTATTTTATTTTTTTACATGTGCAGCTTACTGCACAGTTGTTGATCGACATCAACAGATGCAGATATAAGAAGTATAAAGTAAGATGTATTCAGTATGTTGTTGTAGGTTTGTGGTGAATCTAAATTTCTGTTCCTGCTTTGGTTTGGTTTGTCAAGTCACCAGAATGATACTCATGCAACTGAAACTAAATGTAGGCAAATACTGGAGTCATCATTATTTCACGTCTTCCTGTTTTTGCTTTTTGTAAAGGAGACGTTGTAGGTGTCAGGCAACAATGTGAGAAGTTTATTGAAAATGAAATCAATAGTAAATATGTTTGGGGAAATTAAATATTATTAAATATATGAGGGCCGTTACCACATTTGTACTGAAAATTCAAATTTAAATCAAGTTCTTCCCTCCCAATATTACAAAGATGAGTGGCAAAATTAAATAACCCTCTGGGATTACCAGTTAATTTGAAAGCAGAAATAGAATCAGGTGTTTTCAACTGAAAAACTTTTGATTTTTTTTTTAAAGACCAATTAAAGCAAAGTCTGAAACAGTGTTGGATTTTCTTCTGGTCAAAACAACCATAGCACAAATACCCAAGAGGTTAAGACAGCAATGTAGTGGGAGTATAACCAGTCTTTAATCAGTTGCATGTTATTGTAAATGCTGTTACTGCTGAGTCCGGCTCCTCCTCTGTGTCTGGATCTAATTTCAAATCAGATTTCCTTGATGACCATTTTGCTGCTTCCTCCTCGCCCTGCTGTGTCTGTGCCCCTCACTGGCTGGCACTGTGTGATTCCTCTGCCTCTTTTTAAAACCAGCTGGACTGAACGGGTGTAATTCCTATTGTTACTTGCACAGATGTCGATGGGAAGTAAACCAGTTTTCAAAATTAAAGTACGGTCTTTGATTAAAATGAGTAAAATCCTGTTTGGAGAAGGAAAACACTGTAGCTAAGCTTTTAAACAGGGAGGTTTCAGAACTTTAAAATGTATTCACTATCAAACTCATCTACAGATGTAGATGACTTAACCACAAATCTAACGCTACGTGCTAAAAGAAAAAAATATAAACAACTATGCATAAAACTGTGCTGCTGTCAACGAGTAACTGTCAGTTAACTGAGACCGTCATCAAGTTTGTGTAGGTGTCAGTTCTTTGAAGCAGTTCCTTCCTTTCTTTGCTTTCACAAGTCAGGTCAATTCACGCGAGAGGAGTGCAGCTGTGACACATCTGCGGAGGCGTGTTTGCCCCCCACTCGTCACAAACAAACGCTTCTCTGCACATCGTGACTGCTCTGTGCGCTTATAGTAGGCTCGCACCTTGTATTCTTTCGCAATCATTTGTATGTGACAGTGATTTCATTTACTTGGTAAATATTTTCGACTAGTTTACAGTTTTATCGCGATCGTGACTTACAATATAATTCAATTCATGTGCACAACCTCGTACAGTGGTGGAGCAAACTGAAAGAGTTTGACCAGTCGTAAATACCTGAAAGGACCACCAAGATAAGAACCACTGAGCTGGCAGTTTATCAGCCAAAATGAAGACCATCTATATCATCTGTCTTTTTTGCTGTAAGTGGCTTAGAAAAATTATATTAATGTAATTAATTAACGTATTAATGTTTTCTAACATTTGTTTAACTCCGTGATGCCCTATATCTTGCCAATTTTAGCAGCTACGTTGGCAGATGGAAACAAGTTGATGAAGATAGAAGGATTTCAGGGCAGAAATGTCTCCTTCCAGTGCTCACACAGACTTGCATGGGCGTATGATAAATACTTTTGCAAAGATCCATGTGGGAGCGAGAAAGACAGGCTGGCTACTGTAAAATCTGGTGGAAGAGCAGAGTCCGGGAGGGTAACTCTGGTGGATTCTGGAGATGGATCCTTCACTGTGACCTTGAGTCATCTCCAGCTGTCAGACTCACATCAGAAATATTGGTGTGGAGTGGACAGGCCTGGTTTGGACACATACACTCAGATACAGCTCACAGTAAAGAAAGGTATGTCATCATTTTATTTCTTCTGAGTTTATTTTATCAGTACGCTTAATTTGAATTATGCATCTGCATTCTTACTTCAAAAGATAAGGAAAAAAAATACTCCACGTTTCTTATAGTTCTTTATTGCAGAAAAAAATTATTGCATATAAAAGCATAGCTTGTGAACTAAAATGCATTTTATAATCCGGTTTATAATCTGGTGGTTCCAAGTAATTTCCCCTCGTGGCTTGACTGGATCTTCTTGTTAAAAGATTCAAAAGATTTATTTCCCCTTTTTTTCTTCTCACGTGGTTTTATTGTATTTTTGGAGGCTCAGTGAAGAAAAACATCCAGTTTATAACATATTAGAAACATCAGAGCACTAAAACAATCAAATAGGTTTATTTTAACTTTTGTCTTTCTCGTTCTAAGTCATCTCTCGATAAGCTATATTAATACAAAGTTGTTAAAACTAGCTTCTGGACGCCTGAAGTGAATACATCTGTAAAATGCATCAATTCCTTTGTGCATCAGTATATTAAAAATTCCACTTATATATCCATGACATAAAACTTATTTTGCAGAAAACATCCCTAGATATATATAAAAATAAAGGTATCTAAAAACAGTAATCTTATTGCGGAATTAAATTTTGAATGAAAAACTTTTACTTTTAGAATATATATATTGTATATTGATTAGTTATTAATAGTACCGTAATTTGCCCCTTTCTCTTATAAAGCTGTTGAAACTGAGACACCTGATGTTCCTACCACATGGACATATCAGAATACCAACACAACACAGTTAACAACTGGAACAGACACCATTAAGCCTACAAAACCTTCAATGGGTATAAAAACAATGTATTACAAATTATTGATTTACAGTCCTTACAAATATAAATTCTGGATACATTTTACATAAAGAAGTAATATTGAGTCCTGTTTTGCAGAATCATTCTCCACTAAAGAACAACCTAAAATCAGCACAGGTGAGTTTCCACTTGAGGATGTGATTGGTGTATAAGTTACTGATGAATAAGATGATTCTATAATCTTGTTTTCATCAGGCACCATTGTGTATGCTGCAGTCGGGGGCATTGCTATGGCATGTCTCCTGATGCTGACAGTATGCTTCAGGAAGTACAGAAAAACCTCAAAACCTCAACTACAAGTTTGCTTCAACAACACAGATGTCAGCAGTGTGCATCAACAAGAGGTATGAGATGGAAAATTGGAGATCACACTATCAGGAGGTTCATTCCCTCCTAGAGATCAGTGATTGCCTTAGACAGCAAATTAAATAAAGTAGAATATGATTGGGGTTTTTTTTTATACATCAAATGTAAGTATGTGACGAGGGGTTTTCCAAAAGTCATTTCTCATTTTTTTATATTGTGGAATTTTTCAATGGGGATGTGTTAAAACCACAGTGTTACATTAGTGTTGTGCTAAAGGAATGGTTTGACATTTTAAGTAAAATGCTTCTTCCCCTTACAATTGAAAAGTCAAAAGTCATATTGTGTATAGCTCTGGTGATAAATCTGGGTCAACTAAAAAGGTATTCTTGCAAAGTATCAGATACTGGCACTGGAAGTCACTCCTGTTTCAGAAGCACACACTCACTGACACCATTAGATGCAAAGATAAGTTCTACTGTCTTCCTGTTAAAAGTAGCAAGATAAAAATACTAACCTTCAAGCAACATGATGGTTAACTAAGCACAATTAAGAAAGTGAGAAGGGGGAGAGATAGTCTGGCTATGTCTGGTGATCTGGTACACAGAGAAACTGAATTCTGCCTTCAAGTGTCTCAGAAGTACGCTGACTAACATTTTACATTTCTGTTTAATTTGTAGTGAATTACATTTAAAGAAGAACACAGAGGCCTTTTTGAGTAGAAAACTCATACACTACCAGTCAAAAGTTTGGGCACACCTTCTCATTTAATGATTTTTCTGTATTTTTACTACTTTCTACATTGTAGATACATACTGAAGACATCAAATGTATGAATTTATGGATATTTGCAGCAAAGAAAAAATATAAATAACTCAAAAAATGTCTTATATTTTAGATTCCTGAAAGTAGCCAGCCTTTGCTTTGTAACAGCTCTGCACACCTGTCTCTCAGTGAGCTTCATGATGTAGTCCCCTTTTCCTTCTTAATGGCATTGGGACCGTTGTGTTGTGCAGAAGTCAGGTTGGTGCACAGCTGACAGCCCTATTTAAAAACTGTTAGAATTCATATGATGGCAAGAATCAATCAGCTAAGTAAAGAGAAATGACAGTCCCTAACCCATCATTATTTTAAGAACTGAAGGTCAGTCAGTCCAGAAAATTGCAAAAAAAAAATAAGGGCTAACTGGCTCAAATGAGGACTGCCCCAGGAAAGAAAGACAAAGAATCACATCTGCTGCTTAGGATAAATTGATCTGAGTCACCAGCCTCAAAAATTGCAATTTAACCACACCTCAGATTGGAGCCCAGATCAATGTTCCAGTAGCAGATATTCCTCTACATCAACTGTTCAGAGGAGACTGTGCGAATCCGACCTTTATGGTCAAATAGCTGCTAAGAAACCACTACTAAGGAAAAGCAACAAGCAGAAGAGACTTGCTTGGGCCAAGAAACACAAGGAATAAACATTGGACCAGTGGAAATCTGTATTTTGGTCTTATGAGTCCAAATGTGAGATCTTTGCTTCCACCCACCGTGCAGAAAAGGTGAACTGATGGTCTCTACATGCATGGTTCCCACCGTGAAGCACAGAGAAGGTGGCATGATGGTGTGCTGGTGCTTTGCTGGTGACACTGTTGGGGATTTATTCAAAATTGAAGACACACTGAACCAATATGAGTACCACAACATCGTGCAGCAACATGCTATCCCATCTGGTTTGCGTTTAGTTGGACTGTCATGTGTAATTCAACAGGACAATGACGCCAAACACGCCTCCAGGCTGTGAAGGGCTATTTGACCAAGAAGTATTGTGACAACTAACAACGAGTCTTTCACATCACTGTGGAGGAAATTCAGTCACTTTAGGAAAGCTTTTTAAGCCTGATCGCCTGTTTAAGGTCATACAAAAGCATCTTTAAGTCTGGTCTTTGATTGGACCTAGTCTTTGACTCCCAACACCCTCTGGAACACAAACTCTCAAAACATGTGGTATCCAGACTGGGCTTTCATCAAATTAGCAAAGATACACATGAAAAAAGGTCAGACACCAACTAGGGAGAATCAGAAGGACAAACAGAACAATATTGCCATTTTTCTGCATAATCCATCATACAAAATGTAATCAAATGGAAAAGTCTCTTTTTAAAACTTGTTTTATTAGTTTTAATCTTTTAACTTTATGCATCAAGCAAAAATTAAAGTATATGTAACATTCTCTGACTGGAAGAAATTTGTTTAACATTTAAACCTATTTTCTGCACATTCCAGCACATAAAATAAAATATTTTATTGTGTTTACACTCACTCTTTCAAATAGATGCAAGTGAAACACAGCAGAAAATACATAAAATAAAAGACTAGCGGTCCTGTTGTTCTATTTTCACCTGTAAAGCAGGAGTAGGGTAGGCGGAGGTTTACCCTGGTGCAGGTGTGCCGCAGCGGTCAGTTGAAGAATCCACGAGTTTCTCTGTGAATTTCCCATTAGCCTACTTTTCCTTGGCAGACAAGCTCTATTTAAGTGTTTTCTTTATCAAACAGGTCTGGACGTTAGCAATTCTAGGTGTGTAGTGAAATTGAACTCAGCTTTTCAAAAACAGGTTAATTAATTACTTGATGATTTAACAAGAGGATGCATTTACTTTTTCACAAAGGGCCAGAAAGATTTGGATTACTTATTTTTCCTTAATAAACATTTTTTAATGCATTTTGTATTTACTCCAGTTCTCTTTAAATAATAAACAAAAATGTATTTGATGCTCTGAAACATTTAAGTGTAAGAAATATGCAAAAAACTGAGAAATCAGGAATAGGGGAAATACATTTTGATGGCACCGTGCATGCCTCTATCCTTACTGTAGAAAGATTTAGATTTATACATTTTTGTCTAATTCACATTGTAATTACTCAGCTAATAAGTAATGCTATTCAATGCCATGTGAGTAAAATAAAATAAAATAAATATTTTGAACATATAAGAAAATTCTTATTTATTTATTTATGTTTGTTTTTTTATTTTTGTCTGTTTTCAAGGGAGCAGAGCATCTTCAGAAGTTACCTGGGCGTTCCTCTATTCATACACACCATCAAAGACTGGACCCACCAGCAACTGAACCAACAGAAACGACATCTAGCCTGCACCTTCATATCTATGAGAACATATCTGTGTCCAAACTTGCTGCAGCTTCAGAACATCCACCCACAGAGCATCAAAATGACCACGATAATAACTCTGGGATCTACATAAATCCTTTGCCAGATGTAATATCTGAAAGAACAGGTGTTAGCAAGTGTAGGAAACACAGAGATAAACCTTTGACATCCAAAAATACAACGAGCGGTACTAATAGTGCATCTCCTTGTGTCTCCAGAGCCCCCTGTGAATCCACCGAAGAGAAGCCCAGAACACTTTGGTTTGGTTTAGATTTATCAGGAGTAAATCAGAGTTGATCTCAAAGATAGAATGTTTTTCTGACAGTTATAGGCAAAACCTATTTCCATCATTATAAGCTTTTACACTAAATGGTGCTGTTAAGTGTTTTGATTACACATGTGGTTTAATATGTGTCTTAATCAAATTTACCTTACACTGGAGAAAAAAAATGTGTGTGAACTACCATTTGACACTGTTAATATTTCTAAGTAAGTTCAGGGGAAGTGCTGGACTACATCCCTAGTGAATGAATACATTTAGCAGCTAGACTGCATATTTGCCTTTGGTGTGAGTTTGTAGTAAAAGTGATTTGTACTTTTTCACTTAGTTAGTTGTAGTAATGATGTAGTTCTGCATTTGTGATACATGTAGTGTATTTTGAGGTTGATGCTTATCTGGAAGCATTTTGTGGGAGGGTAGTTTCAGTAGCTCCCTTTAAAAAAAATAAAAATAGAGGTCACCACAGGAAACGCATGTATTCCGATGACTCCTAGTGGTCATGTGAATAAAGACACGTTGGCAGTGAGGGCTGATATAAATAACCAAATATGAACTTCCTGTACCTTACTACAAAAAAAATCATATTTTTGTAATATAATGTCACACTGATGCCTAGCTTTCAATGCAGCAAAAAAAAAAAAAGCTGTTTCAAGATGCCGTAATTTATTTGTCAAAAAGACAGTGACTTGTTGACAGTACATCTAACATAAAAACAAAGACAAAATTAATAATTTCCAACTGGAAATAAGCCATGAAACAGTTTCAAAAAGATGCAGCAGAGAGAAACAAACAAAAATGTTGAACCCTCTAAGCTTTTTGTTTAATGCTTTCTATAAATAATAGTTTCATGTACTTTGTCTAAAAAACTAAATCTTCTACTTAAATGTCTGCTTGGCAAACCTATTTGGCCAACCAAGTCTTGTTAATCATGCCTGTTAACATGCAAATACCCCTAATTAATACGAATACTTAATAAATGCTATATTAGACCTCAAGAGTGTTTGTTGTTTGTTTTGTTTTGTTTTGTTTTGTTTTGTTTTGTTTTGTTTTGTTTT